GCCAAGCGGTTCATTTGTACTTAACTACGGATTATTTTCAGATACAGTGAGACAACTTATTCTGCTCTTGTTAATCACACCTAAATATGTATTTTATAGCAATTGCATGCATTTTAGAAAGAAATGAACTGAAATGTTATGAAAAACAGACTCATTACTTTTGGAGTCAATGACACAAAAGTCTTTAGTTTTTGAAAAAATCATAAGTGCTGCTGTTTATTGTAGTGAGACTACTTCAAATTAATACAGTAATATAGCATCATTATAGGTAAGGTGTAATGTAAAAACAAAGCAACCAATGCTAAAAAGGTTGTATGATTTATTTTCCAGATTGCAGCTACAGCCCATCCACCAGATCAGAGACCAACACGTGATGTTTCAGAGCTTTCTTCCACATACTGCACGGTGGGGCCTCACACTGGAACTGTGAGATCCACAGAGACTAGAGACACAACTCTGCCAGAGAGCCTGTATGCTCAGGTGGAAAAGTCGGCCAAGCCCTTAAAAAAATAATCAGGAATTGTATTTCACAATCTGCACTTGCCACAATTTCTAGTTTGTATTTAAATGTTGCCCAAGCTGTCGATGTTTATGTTTACCTGACCTGCACTGGTACGAATAGACTGTAAAACACTGCATCACACACATTCAGAAGTTGCTCTCTGTGTCAGCTCAGCCAGAGAGAGACTCTCATGTTCAACAGGCCCCAAAATGTGGAAACATTTGAAGGAGTTTTGGGTGTGTGCACTGGTGAGGACATTTCCTTTCAATGACTGAAGCACCAATATGGAACCACTGAACACTGACAATAATTCTCCGATACGGTCAAGATCAATTTGGAAAAAGTGAGAAAAAGTGAACAAATTTTAGTTACCCCTGGAGGTTCAAGCTTGAATACCTGGGGTTGAGCCTTTATCTCACTTATTCACCTGTTCAGACGTTAACCTTAGCCTGTATTACAGTAAAAATGCAGTGCAGAAGTACTGCAACCATTATAAGACACACAGGAACCTCGCTGCAGTGACCACCTTTGAAACTCAGCTCATATGGTCTAAAAGCTTCAGAAGAAGATCATGAATTTTGTGTCTAAGGATGATGGACAAAATGATGTCTCCTTCTTTAACAAGCTGTAGTATACAGTGTGTAAATGTGACTTTCAAGGTCTCACATGATTATTGTGATTTGAAGTGATGTGCTGCAGGATTTTTGTATTATTTTATTGTATTTTTTTATGTTATTCTTTAAGCTATGTAATAAATGTGTGCTATGTGGCATAACTTTCAGCTAATAGTATCACAACCAAAGATTGGGCCATCGGAACAAAATTACATTTTCTTTACTGTTTATTGTTTTTTTCTGAAGACTTGAATTAATTTATTTTTGTGTGTTTACACCATGTGTTTTGTTCAACATGAGGCAAATTAGTAAAACTATATATATATATATATATATATATATATAGCCTATGTATATATGTATATATTCAGATTTTTCAGTTTCTTAAAAAGATACTTTTTTTTAACATTTAGGCTAGTTATTTATACAGATATTATAGGAATAATCCCAGTAGGCTTGGAAAGTGTGCTATGCAAAGTTTGTAGCTGCTCTTAACATCCACAGCAGAGATTATGCTGGAACAAGCTTGAAAGTGTCATTAAATGTTTTATTTTTCCATACAAATATATTGTTTTGAATTCAGTGTTTCAAGTGCGTTTCTTATCACAGCAGCACTGATCGATTCCTCAGAGTTCAGTATACCAGAGTGGAAAAAAAGTCAGTGACACATGATTTCCACCTTTATTAATTCAGAAAGTTACAAAACATATAAGATGAGCATATAGCTTTAATAATAATTGTCCTATAATGCTGCATCTACCACAAACTGCTTTCACTAAAATAATAAGACATGCTTGAACAAATAATGAACATACAAATGAACAAACACATGCATTTTTAAGAATATTGTAAGTAGGACCACATTCAGTGTTACATATAATGTACTGCTCAGTATTTCTTGTATGCTGTTGGCTGTGATCTTACAAAAATACATCTTATTTTTGTTGTTTTTTTCCAGGTAACATCCTCCAAACATTTTTAGCATGATCATCTATTTACAGTCCTTCTATTTACAAAGTGAGCACAGTGAATATCAGGTGTATTCAATGGATAATAAAGAATAATCAGTAGTTATATAATAATTTTGTTTATTTATTCATTTTTCTTTGTGAGTTTGTCCATGAGGTGAACAGTGATGACGGCAGACACCATGATGATCAGGCCAACAGAGAACACCACTGTCTTCACCAGACACACAGAGATACCAGGAGAGAGACTCTCTGAATCTGGAGAACAACAAAACAGGTGGTGACACAACAGATCCAGACTGTGACACTGCAGCAACAAGTTTCAGGGGCTGACCTATATGTTCTGTAGTATAAATGACAATGAAGGAGGCAAATGTCACATTCTGTGCCAAATACAGAAAAACTGCATTAGCAAAAATAAATACAACTTATTTATTGAATTATTATTATCATTTGATGTTCCTTCATTCATGACATTTCTGTACTTTCTAGTTTTGTTTGTATTCTCCCTCTACAGCCTGACAGGGTGGTTGAGTCATGTGCAGAACTTATTTATCAGACATTTTCTTCAAAAACAAACAAACAGACAAACAAAACGATTATTTTCTCAAAGTTTAGCCTAACTTCAGACAATGTGTTTTAACAAATTCAGTCAGACAATTCAGTCTTACCTGCGTGTTGAGGGCACAAATGTTCAATTATTTCTTTGTTCTCGGTCCAGCTGACCTGGTTGCTATGGTTACAGATGATTGAGCCATTCCGGTCCAGGTAGATCTGGAGAGAGGCACCAGAGGTTGTGACCTTTGATTGCTCTCCTCCCTCCTGACTGCAGGTCTGGGTGTCACATCTAAAAGTGCTGTTGATGTGAGAGTCCTGTGTTCTGCAGGTCACAGTGACGTTACAGGAGTTTGAGCTTCTGGACACAGAGTCCACTGTCAGGTCAACTGGAGACCCTGGATCTGAGGAGGGGAAAGAGCAGATGGGAAGAGTTTTTGAAAAATGGCAGCAGAAACTATCAGTCTTAAAATGTTCACAAACCAACCTTGAATTGTGACGTTGTATTCAGCTACTTTTAGTTCTTGTGGAATCCTGAACACATGTGCAGTATAAACTCCGCTGTCTGTCTTTTGTAGATTCTTCAGTTTCACAGAGTAATTTTCCACAGAAAACTCAATCCTTTTAGTGTACCTGGGATAGATATCTGATTCAGCTTTAGGAGTAAGTGTTACTAAAATATCACTTGCATTAAATTTCCAGGAAAAAAAAAAAAATTTCTGTAGCTCATCAGCTTTCATGATCTTCAAAAGCACTTCCTCTCCCTTCTTCACAAACACATGAGTCTCAGCCCTGGAACCTGTAAAAACAGTGAACACATCATGCAATAAAAATCACACAGAATATGTGGTTATTTGGTCAATACTAAATGTTACTCCATTCCTACTATAATTCAAACTCACTGAATTATCTAATAGTATCATGACTTGTAAAGGGTTAGAAAATGTCTTTAAAAATGCCTTGTATGGGCTTGTATTGTGTCACAGCATGGAGGAGTTTAACTGAAACTAAGCCCACTGAGAGTGAGACTTTAGTCAGAGTCTTTATTTTTCTTTCCACTCTTTCTCCTGAAATTAAAGGAAATTTCAAAATAAGAATTAGAAATGACTCAAAGGGCGTGTACCTCTGCCAGGGTATGCACATCTGTTTGGTAAAATGGTAAAATTCTGCCTTAACATACACCATGGAGTCATTTTCCAGAGAAAACTCAATCCTTACAGTGAAATTAGGAAAAGCTGTTGGATTGTTATCAGGATCAGCTGTTACTAAAAGGTCCTTTCCATTAAATTTCCATGAAAAAAAAGAATAAATTGGTCAAGACTATCAGCTTTCATGATATTCAAAAACACATCCTCTCCCCTCTGTACAAACACAGGAGTCACAGCGCTGGACCCTGCATACAATAAAATAAAAATCACAAACAATATAGGCTAAATGTTTTTGTTTTCTGTTTTGGTCAATACTGAATTTTACTGAACTTGATTTATATGTCACATCATTATTTAATGCAGGATTGTTATTATATATACATTTCCATCCATTTTCTAACCGCTTATCATCTTGAGGGTCATGGGGGGCTGACACATAGAGACAAACAACCATTCATGCTCCATTCACACCTACGGACAATTTACAGTCACCATATATATAATACTCCTGAGACTTGTATTTTTATTTGGTATGTATTTTTAATTTCTCCTAGCTATTTGGGATCAGTGGGACCCGCTAAGTATAAAAAACAAAATATTGTCAACCATAATTAAGTCCCAATGTC